TAGGGGCGCCTGGGTGGCTCAGATGATCAAGCGTCTGCCTTCGGCCCAGGTCATGATTCCAGGGTCCAGGGATCGAGTCCCGCATTGGGCTCCCTACTAGGCAGGGAGCCTGCTTCTCCCTCTGCCTCTGCCTCTCTCTCTCTCTCTCTCTCTGACTCTCGTGAATAAATAAATAAAACATTTAAAAAAAAATAAAAATCCGTATGAAATTTTTTAAGCAAATGCAAATGAATATTATATAAATTTTTATTCTGATTCCTCATTTACATGAAAGGTAGTGTGATAGCTGCTAGTTTGCACTTCGCTTCTCCTACTTAAGAAGATGGCTGGGAAATTTTGCCATATGAATAGTTTTGTTTTTTTTTTAATAAATACAGTAGCTTTTGTCGACTGGGGTTCCATGGAGAAATTAGGCCTTACAGAAAATGATTTATTTGACTCTTCTCACTTCTGCCAAGGATGGAGTGTAGCTAGTACCAACCCAGAGTGCAGAAAAAGTTATTTCCTTACAGAGGATGGATATATGGAAACATGAGGGCTTAATTCTCCTGTAAAATTCCAGTCCGGAAGGGCTGGCCTATAACATTTTATTGTGAAAGTCATAATGTATTTAAGTCATTCTTTCTGGTGCCTGGATGGCTCAGTCAGTTAAGCATTTGCCTTCAGCTTGGGTCATGATCCCAGAGTCCTGGGATCAAGCCCAGGCTCGCTGCTCCCTGGGGAGTCTGCTCCTCCCTCTCCCTTTGCCCCTCCCCCAGCTTGTGCTCTCTCTCGCTCACTGTCTCTCTCAAATAAATAAATAAAATCTTTAAAAAAAAGAAGTCATTCTTTCTAGGTATTTGCAATTTCAAACAGTGCAACAAAGTAAAACCTTGTATGTGCATCATTCTGCTTGTGTGCAGATATGTCAAAAAAGTGGAATTGGTGGCTTAGAGGGCACATGCCTTTGTAACCTTAGTAGACGTAGCGCAAGTTTCATGATTAGGTGTTAGACCATGTTCCATATCCGATGCACGAAAATAATCTCACCTACAAGGAGTGTTCTTAGATCTTCGGGGTTTTGCCTCAGGTGGCAGAACTGTAAGGTTTTACACTTTTGTCAGAAGAGATCTGCATGCTAGAAAGATCCCTGGCTGCTGGATGGAGAAAGGAATGAGATCGAGTGTAGAAGAGACTGGCAAGGGGGTCATGGCTGTACCAGTGTGTGGGCTGTGGCACGGAGCGAAGTGGACACACAGGGGGCTGGTCCAGGGCCCACCCGACGAGGGGTGTGGAAGGTTGTGGCTCCCGTGGCTAAGGAGATGGTAGGACCAAGGCATATGGCTTCCGTCTCGGGGCTGGCACACAGGTCTCTGCAGCCGGGCAGGTGCACGTTGGCCAGCTGGGAAGGCTGTGGCCACCAGTGGGAGGAAGGGAAGGAGGCCCAGTGGTCAGCCCGCTGCTGCCCATCCTCTGTCCACAGGCAGAAGCTGCATGAAGCAGATCTGGAGCTGCAGCGGAAGCGGGAGTACATTGAGGAGCTGGAACCGCCCGCTGACAGTGGCAGTGAGTGGGATGCAGCAGCTGGGTGGGGCCAGGGAGCCCCGAGCTTGGCGGGGAGCTGAGGGGTCGCCTTGTTCCCCCAGCAGCTCGGCGTATCGAGGAGCTGCAGCACAGCCTGCAGAAGAAGGATGCGGACTTGCGGGCCATGGAGGAGCGCTACCGTCGCTACGTGGACAAGGCGCGCACGGTGAGGACGCTGGGGGCTGCACGGGCCTCCTGCCAAGGCTGCTGCCTCCCACTGACTCATGCCTCCCACCAGCGCGCACCTCTCTGCCCCCACTCCTGCACCTGCCGTACCCCCATCATATCACAGACGTCTGCACCACACTTCATGCGGCCCAACACGTCCGACGGCCTGCAAGGCCAAGGTCACCCTGCCTGGGTCTTTCCCAAACCCTAGGTCATACAGACCCTGGAACCCAAACAACGGCCATCCGGGGGGGCACCCCCAGAACTTCACACCCTGAGGACACAGCTCTGGGAGCGGGACGTCCGCATCCGGCACCTGGAGGTGGGTGTCCTCATCACTTCTCACTGTCCCCAGCATGTCCAGGCCCCTGACTGTTCCCTCCTTGGCAGATGGACTTTGAGAAGAGTCGAAGTCAGAGGGAGCAGGAAGAAAAGCTGCTCATCAGTGCCTGGTATAATATGGTGAGTGCACATCACCGTAGTGAGGGTACCGGGATGTGCCATGGGCTCACTGGACGCCAGCCATGACTCCTTCCTCCGTCCAGGGCATGGCTCTGCAGCAGCGAGCTGGGGAGGAGCGGGCACCTGCCCATGCCCAGTCATTCCTGGCACAGCAGCGGCTGGCCACCAACACTCGCCGCGGGCCTCTGGGACGCCTAGCATCTCTGAACATGCGCCCCACCGACAAGCACTGATGGGCCTCAGGATCCTGCCCCCTGCCCAGCCAGTTGGGGCTCAGTCTGCCCTGGATTCCCCCAACTCACCTGGGGCCCAGCATCAGGAAGGCCTAGGGTCAGCTGCCTGAGAGCCTTAAGGTCATGACTTCTGCCCTTTGTTCTCTCAGATGGGACAAGAGTGCAGGATAGGGCAGGAGGCAGGAGTGGGTCTGTTCTTTTTAGCAATGTGATTCTTATCCTTGATTTCCAGCCTGGGGTTAATGAGATGCCAGGGGAGAGAGTGATTTTTATATTTGAGAAGAAAAATAATAAAGATTTTCAATCTGTCCTGGCTGGACTCTAGGCACTGAGGGGAGGGAGAGAAGATGGGCCAGATCATTGCTTTTAGAAAGGCCTGGCTTGTGTTCTTACTAAAGCGTGAATGACTGACGGCACCCACTGGGAGGTGAGAACCATGTTTGTGTCTGTGTAACAGTATGTGCGTGAGGTCGTTTTTTGAAGAGGCTTCAGACAAAAATTCCTGCCTTATGAAGTTGTCGTTTCTCATGAAGAGAGACAGACAATAAACAAAATAGATAAAGTGAAAGTTTGATGTGAGAAGTGCTACAGAGAAAAAGAAAGCAGGCAGAGTGATGGGGATGTGGGACGTCCATTTGGGATGTGGTGGTTTTAAATAAAAGGCCAGCAGAAGAGGCCTCGCCAAGGAAGTGACATAATTTAAGCAGAGACCTGAAGGAGGTGAGGGAGGGGCCATGTAGGTATCTGGGAAAGAGTGATCCAGGCAGAGGGAACAGCATATGTGTGAGGCCCTGAGATGAGGCTTTGCTTGGTGGTTAGAGGGACAGTGAGGAGGCCAGTGTGGAGTGAGTGAGGGGAGGAGGGGAAAGAGATGAGGGCAGGGAGATTGTGAACTGTAGGGAGTACTTTTATTCTAAGGAACATGGGAGTCATGTAGGGTTCTAAGGAAAGGAGGGACATTACCTGACTCAGGTATTCATAGGCTCTCCTTGGCTACTGTGGAAGGAACAGACTGGGGGCGGTTAGGGCCAGAGCTGGGAGACAAGGGCAGTGGTCCATGGTCTAGGTGGGTGGGTGGGTGACATCGGTGGCTCTAAGATGTGGGCCCTAGAGGAATGGGAAATGGTTGGATTCTGGATATAATTTGAAGACTGAGCTGATAGGATTTGCTGCTAGGTTGACATGGAGGGGGTAAGAGAAAGAGTTGGAGAGGACTCCCAGATTTGGGCCTATCACCCGGAAGGACAAAGCCAACAGATAGGTTGGGGCAGGTTGGGGAGCCAATAGGGAGCTGGTTTGGGGGGAATGCTCTGTTCAAGGTGCCACATGAAGATCTCGAGGAGGCAGGTGGCTCTCCCAGTCTAGAATCTGGAGAGGGATCCCGGCTGGACTTCTAAATTCACCATATGATTGAATTATGACTGGGAGCTCCGAAGGAGTATTGGAGAAGGCAGTGAATTGGGGCAGAGAAGTCGCTGGCAGAATCATAAAACAAGACTGACAGGAGGAGGCTGTGGTCTGGGGACTGGCTGGTACATTAATGAATGAGTAAAGCCATGGACACATGGGGTCATTTCAGAGGGCAGAGTTTGGGAAGAAGGAGGCAAGGTGCGATCAAAGAATCTGGAGGAATTCTCAAATCTTATTTAGCCTAATTCCTGGCAGGAAGAGTCGGGCTAATAATGTTTGAGTAAAAACCACTAACATTTTATTGAGCACCTATTATGTAATCAACATTCTAAAACCGTTATTTCATCCCCCTAAGTCAATGAGGTAGGCACTCACGTCTCCACTTCAAGGAAAGAATGAAGGCAGGGCACACTAATGGGGGCCTTTCAGGCAGTGGAGGGAGGAAAGTAGAGCTGGTGGGAAGGACCGCCTGTTCAAAGAAGCTGGAAGAATCCTTCACCCTTAGCCCAGTGCCTGGCCCACTGGAGGCGCTCCAAGCCCCAGTGCCAGACGCGAAGGCGGGCGCGCAGGAGGCGGGAACGGGTCAAAATCGGACAGGTGGAGTCCACACGCGGCTTATGCAGACCCAGACTGCTGCCTGCGTGCCCTGTCGGGGTTTGTGTCCCTGTCCTTGGGGAATCCTGGGCCTGAGGGCCTCAGGCTAGACTCTCCTCCTCCTCGCCAATGGGGCTGGGCAGCCAGGGTGGAGCCGGGCCCCGGGGCGCGGGCATAGGCACAGTGGTGAAGGGCTCGGCGGCGGGCCCCGGGACGGGCAGCTCGGGGCCGGCGGGGAGCTCCGGCTCTGGCTCCCGCAGGCCGGAGTCGAGCAGCGGGTCCCCGCAACCGCACTCCGGGGCCGCGCCGTCGGGGGCGCCTGCGCACGTGCAGCTGGCGGCTGTGGACGTCTCAGACACGCAGCTGTTCTTGCGGCGCATTAAGGACAGGCGCCGGCCCAGCAGGCCTCCCGCGCCCATGCCTGCGCCTACCGGCAGGAGGCGCTGCAAAAAGTCGCCGTGCGCCTCGCCCAGCGGCCCGTCCACGCCGTCCAGCCGCTGGAACTGCATGTCCTCTTTGGCCAGCCTGTCGGACGGACAGTGGTTCAGCGTTGCGACCTCGCTCCTCTCCTTGACTGACAGAGCGGGGACCGAGACACGCTGCTTCTCCTGGTTCCATCCATCCCTTTGTCTCACTTATCCCCAAAGACCTCGGTCCTTCTCCTGAGAGCCTGCTTTTATCCTCTGGCTTCGGCTAAGCTCAAATTTAGCTCTTCAAGCCTCAGTCGGGACTGCAGCATCTCTGGCGCTGCCTCTGGCCGCGCGTCCAGTCCTCATCGGCCTTAGCCCTTGGGTCGGCCCCCAGTTAGTGGCCGGGTCCCAGACCTTGACCCGGATCCCTGCCCCCTACCCCCATTCTAGTCCTCACAGACTTGAGGTCTTAGCCCTGAGTCTCCAAATCGGCCCTGTCCTGGTAGCCCAGAGCCCCTCCAATCGGATCATCCCCCGCAGGGCCAGAAGCGCCTCCTCCGGGAGGCCCCACCCATCCCGCTGGCTCACGTGATATCGAAGGTGGAGCCCTGGAAGGAGGGCTGCTGCCGCAGGAACGCGGTGGCTGCGGTGTAGGGGGCGCGAGCCTCGGTTGCGTCCCAGTACAGATCCTTCTCCAGCATGGCCAGGTCGTCATACATCTCGTCCACGGCCAGCATTGACACCTGCGGGCGTGCACGGGGTGGACCCCTCAGGATGGGCTAGGCGTATGGTGACCAAAGAAAGAAGGATGATGGTTCAGGGTCCAGGCCCAGGCAAGTCTTCGAGGGGTGGGGCCAAGGCTGGTTTGGGAGCCCGGGATGGTCTCACCCGAGTCTCACCTGGAAGTTGCGGTCGATCAGAAAGTTGGTTTCAAAGTCATCGTCGTCCTCTCCGAAGGGATTGATGAGCTGCTCGGCTACCTGAAGGGGAAGGGGATAGTTAGGTAGAGCCCTGAGAACCCGTGCCTATCCGACCCCGAGAGTCCCTACCTCTGAGCTCCACCTACCTTGAGCCAGCCCGCATAGAAGAAGAACTGCAGCAGGGTGAAGATGGGCACGCACAGGTCCAGGTTGTGGCCTTCGTAGCCCTGAGCTGGGTCCAGGAACTGGCGACCGATGAGGCAGGCCAGGAAGTAGCTGTACACAGCGATGGTGACCACCTGGGGGCAGGGTGGGTCACCAGGTCAGGGTTCTCCCGGTCTCAGGAGGTCTTGGAGAGACCAGGACTAGGATGGGGCATCACGGATATGGGGTCTCAGCTGGCCCTCAGTCTTCCCTTGAGACCAGTGCGTCAGAGCGTCCGATGCCGGATTTAAACAGAGGCACGGCAGGGTTACCTGGGTATAGACAAGGGGTACGCTGATCCAGTCGTAGTGAAAGAGCATTCCGCACTTGCCCCGAAACACGGTCAGCTCCTGGGTGCAGATACACGTCATGAGAAGGCCTGAATTGTGAGTGCACACATGGGGATTAGGTGTGGGTACTTGGGATGGAGGTGAGTGGTTACCTGGTGGGATGTGGGCGTGTGCTTCTGGGTCTCCAGGGAGAGTATTTAGTGGTGAGTGTACATCTGGGGAAGGGGGCACTATGCGCCGGGGAGTCGGCCCCCTAGAGATAAGTGTGCACCTGGGGGCTGCTTGGTAAGGGTGTTGGGAATCTGCCTCGGGGGAGGCGCGTGGCAGGCCGCCATCTGACACAATTCCGGGGAGGTATCATTTCCCTGGAATTTTGTATGAATGACCTCCTGGCGGGCCCACCTCGAGCAGCAGCTTAAGGGCGCTGTTGTCGCGGATGCGGCCCTCACGCCGGGCCTGCGCAGCCAGGTTGGAGAACCAGACGCAGGGCACCCAGTACTTGTTGTAGGACGAGTTCAGGTTCTCGAACTTCTTACGCTCCTCGCGGGTCATAAATCCTGGAGGGGCGAGGTGTGGGGGAGGGGGTTACTCGCCCCGCCCCCCCGTTCTCAGCCCCGCCCCCCGCCCCGCTTCAGGCAGGAGCCTCACCCGCCTCCACTACGTGGTCTATGGTGGGGAAGCGCTTGAAGACCGCGGTGCTGACGGAGCGCAGGATAAGCACAGCCGAGAGCCCGGCGTAGCGCATGAGCGTACGCCGGTAGAGGCGGCCCCGCTCGTCGCGTCCGTGCACCGTGCCTGCCACCACGCACATGAGCGCGTCCGGCAGCGGCATGCAGAGGTACTGGTTCCACCAGCGATGCACCACCAGCGTCACATAGAAACCTGCGGGACAGCCGGGAATAGGGGGGCTAAGTGGGGATGCCAGGGCCAGGTCGTGGCAAGAGGGATGATATAGGCTCTGCATCAGAGACGCCAGGGGAGGCTTATCACCCACCCACCTCGCGGGGCCGCCTGGGCTGGGAATTTGGGGGTCACCCTGGCTATCTGATTGTCACCTGGGATGTGGGATTGGGATGTCAGGATGGAGGTGGAGACACAGGGCCTATGTTCGGGGCACATAGGCAGGTTGTCACCCTGGCCACAAGGAATCACTCGGTTGGGAGCGTGGGGACCTGAAACAGGAGGCTGGGGTCACATGAAGTCACTGACTTGTCAGAGAAATGTCCTCCGGGCGGGACTTGAGAGGATGGAGTCTTAGGGGGTCACTGGAGGGGTCCCTGGGACCCAGGACATGTGGGGGGCCACTAGGAGTCTCATGCAGACACAGGTGGGAGACCCTGAGATGACCAGGGATTAAGCCTATGGGTGACACGGAGCTCTCGTGGCTTACTGTAACCAGGTGACATCCAAGGTCTCTGGAAATTGGGGCCACACCTGGCATGAAGGATGTAGAAATAAGGGTCTGTTGGGGTTGGATTTGAGGGGGGTCTCCTGAGGAATGGGGTCTCCAAAAGGCCTGGAAATGGGTTTCTTAGTATTAGGGGAATGGGGAACTAAGGAGCGAACGCACCCAGCACGAAAGAGACCGGGATGAGACTGGCATACTGGTCACAGTAAATGACGAGCTTCTCGAAGTAGCGCTTCTGCCCTTCGGTCAGCACGAAGCTGCGAGGGAGGGGGCAGGGGGTCACAGGAGAGCCTCCCTCCTGGACACACCCAAGGTCCCTTCCCTAGTCCCCCCCCTCCCCCCGCGTCCCCCACCCCAGGGCCGCCTCACCGATAGGCGGCACTCAGCGCCATGTAGAGCCCCAGGAAACAGACCAACTCGCGCCACAGAAGTTTGTAGATGCTCCCGCGCCACAGCAACAGCAGCTGCGAGAAGCCGCCGAAGCGCGCATTGGCCACGCGGGCTGTGTAGGTGACGGTCATCGCAGCGCCGGGCCGGCTGCGCCGAAGGAGAAGGGGCTGAACCGGACCCCAGCCTGTGGGCGGAGGAAAGGGTCCCCCGGGCTGCGGGCAGGGGCGGAGAGGTGCGGGCCGACTCAGCTTGGCGTCCCCAGCCCAGGTTCCGGTCTCCTCCCAGGCCCGCTCAGTCCCGCCCTAGCCCCCAGTCCTTCCCAAGCCCCCTCTGGCAGGCCTCCCTCTTCCCAGGACTCCTGGTCCCAGCTCCATAAGTCTACCTTCCCTGGCCCTCTCTCTCCATCCTCCATCCCCAAGACCCTTGGGTCCACCAATCAGCCCCAGTAGCCCTCCTTACCTGGGCTCCTATCTACAGCCTTCCCCACTCCCTGAGTCCCCAACGCCTGTTTCTAGAGTCTTAGGACTCCAGCTCTTCCCCAGCCTCGATCCCCTTCTTCAGGTCCCATCTCTGCCCGTCCTCCACCCCACTCCTACAGCTCCCATTCTCAGCCCATCCTCCACCCCTGCACTCCCTTCTTTGAAGCCCTTGGAAGCCCAATCCCCAAGCTTCCAGTTCCCCCAGGCCCTGTACCCCAGGCCCTCTCCCCTGGCTGGTCTCTCCCCTACACAGTTCCCCAAGCCTACCCACCTCCCCACTTAATGGCCCTGGCTCTGCCCCTTCCCCCTTCTCCTGGACCCACCTTGACCTTTCATCTGTCCAATCCCCTCCAGCCTTCAGAGCCCTCAGCTCCCCACCCTGAGGAGTTTGATGGATTCCTGCCTGAGGACCCATCTGTCCTCAGGATCCTCTGTTCCCCCAGGCCTGGGCCCTTCTCACCTGGTGGAGGGTGCAGAGACAAACGGGGCCAGGGACAGAATGGGCGGGTGAATTCAGCTTTAGGTGGGGCTGAGGCCAGACCCCAGGGGGAGGGGGCTGGGGAGTGGGCGTGGGCAGCCCCTCCCTGGCCCGCCCCCACCTTGGCTGCAGCCTCAGAAGTTTGTTTGGAGAAGTCTTGCCAGTTTGTTACCTGGGGCAGGGGGAGCAATCCACCCTGTCCTCCCTTGCTCCTCCCTGTCTCTCTCCCAGTTAGTCACTGGCAGGTCCAAGGGATCTTGGACCTAAGCTGGGGGAGGGGGCAGTGACTGTCTCCTTCCCAGTTCCAGAGACACACACACACTGTTCAGTGAGGCTGTGTCACTCCACACCGTCACAAGGATGCACAAAGAAACACACACCATAGACCCAGACACAAATTTAACTTCTTTTAACACAGCCTCCCACAACCACGGTAACCCAGAGCGCAGTGTACACTGTCACAGACTTAAAAAGTCACAGAAGACACGTGTAGCTCTACCCACCCCCAACATTCAATATAGGCAGATGGACCCTAACCCACCAGGCTCTCGGCTCTCAGGTATCCATCCATATGGTAGCACATAGGCAGGGACCTGGGACCCTGCATTCCCTCACGATGGCACCATGTAACAAAGACACATGCAACATCACACAACCGCAAAGCACAGACCCCACAATGCCTTCACACAGACAACCGCACGCTCTCACACACGAGGGACCATGCATTTATTCCCGATTTCTCCTGCACAAAGACTGACCTGTGGTCACACACCAGATGCATGCACACCTGCCCTCAAAACAGTGGCACATGGTCCTGGGGTCAGAGCAGGGCCCTAAACACACTCATACAAAAGAGACCCCTCCCCTACAGTCCCATAGAGCCTTCTAACTAGATGGGCTCATGCCCATACCCCCCCATAAAATTCACCCGCATTTACACATCAATACATAAGACACTCTCTCCCCAGTGCTCCCTCAACCATACACACACCTCAGGTCTCACTCTCAGTATTGCCATGAACACACAAGCTTGGGGACACACCTTGTCCCCAAATTTGGCATGGATGTAGACAGATGCTCCCCCTTCACAGACACACCTACAAAGGGGGCACCCCCAGCCTGACACAAATAGCCCCCTCATCCCCAACATCAGACTCATAACCCAGTGTGGAAGGTGCGGAGGCTCAGAGTTCCAACCCTAAGAGGGGCACCCTTAAAGCCCCTTGTGTTCACCGTTCGCACTAGGAGGCCCATTGCAGCCCCGCCTTGCAGCCCTGCCAGCCAGGACACTGTGTTCCCGGCCTGGCAGATGTCTGCCCTGCCCCGGGTAATTAGGAACTGGCCTGGGCTGGCCACCCTCAGACCCAAATCTCCGCTGTCCAGCTGCCGGACAGCCCATAAAAGGGGGAGAGGGAGTGGCGCGGCTAGCTTCAGGGCTGGGGGAGGGCACGGGCTTCAAGGAGATGCTCTCGGTTCCTGAGCAGAGGCCCCCACTTCCTAGGACACGTCCGTACATGCACTACAGCTCGCCCCTACCCTGTGCTCAGCCACCCGCCCCCAACTCACATGTGTCCCCACACGCCTCTGAGTGCTGGCCCCCCGCCGGCCCCGGGGCAGGTTGCCCGAGCTAGCTCACATGCTTAATAATTGTTACAGTGAAGAGTAACAAACCCTCCTTGGCGGCTACGTGACTGGGGCTGTTGTAAAGGCTCTGCTTATTTCATCTCATTGAGTCCTTACAAGCGGACCCAAGAAATGGGTGCTTTTGTTATTCCCGCTATCCAGGTAGGGAAACTGAGGCTCGGATGACACACGGCTTGTGGCACAGCTGGTTTTTGAACCCAGGCAGTCTGGCTCAGAACCTGGGGTCTGTCACAGGTTGCACCATGTGTTTGTTTACAAGGGCCACCCCAACCTGTCCACATCCAGTGGAATAGTGGGGGGTGGCACGTCTAGGCTTGGGGCTGGGTTCCCCTTACACGCACACCCTGTCACACCCGTGTGCAGCCTGAACACCACTTCTTGACTCATGCATGTCCTCGGGCATCCTCATTCTGTCCCCTCGAGCCAGCACTGGCTTGGAAATTGCAAATGCTCAACGTCACTGCCCCGGTCTTGGGTCTCTCAAGTGGGGATGACACTGGCTGTCCAGGCAGTGGCAGAGGGAGGAGTGAAGGGATATGGGAGGCCACTAAGTGCCTTCCAAGCTGGTGTGCTAAACCCGTCCAGGGTCCGGTGAATTTTCCCATGATTCTGAACGACCACACTTTATGTTTCCATTTTAGGGATAAAGGGAGTGGAGCTCTAACTGCAGGAAGCATGCTGCCTATCACTCAGCGAGGCCGCTCTGGAGGCAGACAGGACTTCAGGGGCCCACCTGACCCGACTCCTCTGCCATCCTGCCTCCTAATTAGCCCCCCTGTTGCAGCCCTGTGCTGGGAAGGGCTGATGCCATCCCATGGGAACAGGAATTGGGGGGTGGAGACTGTTAATCCTCAGTCTGGCAGGCCCAACCTCTGCCCAGGGCGCCCACTAATTCCCAAACCAAACAGCAGGCAGCGCTGGGCCCGCTGCCGGCCTAATCCGTTCCCCACCAGCCTAGGGATGGCCAAGGGGCCTCCCAGTTCCCACGCTCTGAACCTCAAAGGAAGTGGGCAGATGCTCCCCTTCTACTACAGGTTTTATAGCCCCAGCAGGGACACCGCTACCAGAGTTAGAAAAGCACACCCCCTTACTGAAGATACCCTCCTTCCAAAATTACCATAATAAACATACATCTCTATTAGATCTCTGGTGTGACTTGGTCCTCTAGATGTGCCATCTTTGTGCAGTGTACAACCTGTGCAACTGTACATAAAGGTGCTGACCCCTAACTCCTCTACATCAACATCCATGGTGGTTTAAGATCATTTTATTGAGGGGCGAGAGGCAGGGAGAGGTGGGGGGCAGCTACAGCCCCCTCAGCCCCACCAGGGGGAACAGACCTCCTCCCCGCCCCCTGCCCCCCAAGTGGCTCCCCCTATACTATGGGGGGGGACTTTGTGCAAACTCTGCCCCCCCGAGGGGGTGGAGGGGGGGTGTGAAATGGTAGCAACTGGGGCTGGCAGCAGTGCTACTGGGCACTGGGGGGCTTGTAGGGCTCCAAGAGGAGGGCAGAGAAGGTGTTGACCTTGTCCGCCCCCCGCACCTCGTGGGGCAGCAGCGGCAGCTTCACAATGTGGAAGTCTTCGTACAGGTCCTCCATCTGTGGCCAGGGCACAGGGCAGATGGTGGCAATCAGGGGGTTGCAGGGCAGGGACAGAATGTGGGTCAATGGGAAGGGTCAGGCTGGGGATCTCCCAGGATCAGGGGAGAATGTGGGGCAGGGGCTTCATATGCTGATAGGTGGGAGTGAGACCAGTGAGGTCAGAGATCACTGGGCTGGACCTCCCCCTCCCTGGGGTCAGAGGTACCCAGGCCAGGCCAGCTACTGTCTTCAAGAGCCAGAATTAGGGTTAGGATTAGGAGCAGGAGGCTGGGGCAGAGGATTAGAAGACAGAATGGAGTAAAAGGTCAGAGGATACAGTAATTGATCCGTGGGGCCTTGGTTGGGCTGGGCCAGGCCCCAACTTCCAGGATCAAAGGTGTGAGGGCTGGGCAGGCAGTTGGGCATGCACACCTGGTCCAGGTACTTGGCCTGAATCTTGTGGCGGGCCTCACACATCTTGCAGGGCTTCTCAGGGTCAGGGAAGACGAGCTGGTTGACGATGATGTTGTGGGTATCAATCTTGCATTTGGCTAGCTCTTGAATCAGCCGCTCCGTCTCATACAGGGACAGGAACTCAGCAATGCACACGCAGATGAACGTTGTCTGCTCCTGCAAGGCGTGAGAGAGGACAGCGAGGGGCAAGTTCTGGCCCTGTCCCCATCCCAAGCCTCTCACCACCCGCCCGTACCATGACTCACAGGGTCCTTGAACTGTTCGCTGACGGAGCGGATGACGGGCAGCGTCTCCTCCAACTTGGACGCCAGTTGGTCTGCGTTCATGTCCCCTAGGCCCAGCATGTTGCACATCTGTGGGGAGGACGTGGGAGGCTCACAGCTTACCTGGGGTGCCTTACAGCACCCGGGTTGGGGACTGACACCTCCTGGGGTTAAAGGTCCTCAAGCAGACCACAGGGGTCAAGCCAGCTCGGCCATTTCTGGGGGATTGTGGCCAGGGGGCTTGACTTCCTGGAGCCTCAGTTTCCCCACATGTAGACCTTACCTCCAACAGCTGTTGTACTGACCACACACCACCAGGGAGAGGGTGGCGGTGGTGGTGTGCCTAAATGTGGGGGCAGTGGGCTTGTCATGTTGTCATGCTAAGAACCACCCATGGGACACCCGTATGGCCTCCATTTGACAGACAAGGAAGGTGAGACCCAGAGAAGTGAAGTGACTTGCTTGAGGTCCCAGAGTCCTGTCACACCAGACTGTAAAGCATTTGAGCCCAGGCCGCCTGGGTCTGGAATACGTGTTTTCAAGCTCTGTCTGGAGCACTCCGTGGGTGGGGGCAAGACACGAGCCCTATGGAGTAGGCGGACAGTCCCCCCCACCCCCATGGTGGAGAACCACGGACTGAGAGGGCATGTGTGAGGAAGGCCTTTGTCAGTGCGTGTCTGCACACTCTGACACAGGGGGTGCCCGGACGCCCTGGGGCCCTGCCTGCCTGGGAGATGAAGGGGCTGATCTGGTTCTTGATCTGCATGAGGCGGCCTAGGCCCCGCTCCACGATGGTGGGGAAGTTGAGCAGCCTCAGTGTGTGGCCTGTGGGCGCCGTGTCAAACACCACCACCGAGAAGTTCATGCCCTTCACCAGCCTGCAGGGGAGAGGAGGATCAGGCCTGTTTGCCCCCTTCCACCCCAGCCTTACACAGCACCCTCCCCTGCTGGCAGGGCCTGACCTCATGACCTCTGCGTAGCTCATGGCCTCGTCAATGCCGGGGAAGGCACTCATGGCCTCCTGCATCATCTTCTTGCCCATGCTGAGCATGTTGTCCTCCTCGAAGAACTCGTCAGGCAATTCGGCCACGCCAAGGCTGGGGTCAATCTCCTGAGGGCCGAGGGGTCAAGACTCGGGTGCTGCTGCCGCCGGACCTTCCCACCCAGGCACCAGGCGAAAGAGCCCATGAAGGGCCCTGAATACCAACCTTCATCAGTTCATGGCTGGGGATACCCCTGAGGCACTTCAGGTCTCGTGTGGTCACACAAGTGGTCAAACCATTTCACAAGCAGATGGAAAATTGTAAACTGTGATCAGTGCCCCAGAGGGAAGTCAGAGCCCATGGCTGGGCCCTTGCATTGGCCGTTCCCCAAATGGGGCCCCGACCTCATCCAGATCATTTCTCTAACAGGAGCCCTCCCTGACCATCCCATCTAACAATGTCGCCCCAACTCCCCCTGCCCTGCCTTCATTTCTCCTTAACCCCGAACCCCAGCTCACATGGTTTACTCAGCACGTTCATCACCTTTATCAGCTGTCAGCACTGCGAAGCCCACAATGGGTCCTCAACATGTATGTAGAATCCATGAAGGGATGATTGTCCCCGGGCTGTCTGGTCTGCTCTGGACTCAGTGCCTCTCTCTCCATCCTCCTCCCATGTCACCTCTTGGTGACTTCACAGGTCCCATGGTGAAGCCCCCAACTCGCTGGCCTCAGAGGTCATTTCCCTGCAGGGAGCATGCCCACCCATCACCCCTGACAGTCACACCCTTGATGGGTTATTGCCAGTAACTGGGCCACCTCCAAGCTCCCACACCTCACTCTCTGACCTGGGCCTCCTTGCCTCCTACCTCTTTGGGCCATCTTGTCCCCATACCCCTGCCCCATTGTTCACTGTCAGTGTCCCTCGTGGCCGGCACCCTTATCCAGCCTGGGCTCCATAGGGTGCCTCTGCAGACACTCCCTTTTCCCCGTGGCTGGCAACATCCCCACTCTGGTTATTCCCAGCTCTCTGGTATGGCTGCACCGAGGTGAACAGTCGGGGAACGCACTTGATGAATAATTCCCACGTTGCTCCCCATTCCTGAACACAACTCTCCAACAGGCACTCAAGCCAGACACACCCTCGGGAGTTTCTTCTTTCTCCTCAAACCCCATCCATCCCATTCACCCCTTGTTCTCTGCTGAGACCAGTGCTGTGCCCGATTAGAAAAAGAAGCCACTGGCTGCCAACACCCTCATCTCCTCCCAGGAAATGTCCCCATGCCCACCCCACCCCCCTGCCCCTCCCTGCCCTGCTTCCATGTCCTGGGTCTGTGAGCTGAATGGAACTCGCACCCACCTACCTGCCTGAGGACTGTCCTCTGCCAGCATCCTTGCTCCCTCCCACAGCATCACTTGTCCCTCCCTGTTGGAGCGTTTACATCAGCAAACAAACATACTCTGGCATCTCCTTCCCC